GTTGTGGCCAAGAATTTGAAGTTAGGAATTTTGAGGGGTACAGCATTAGGCTCATGAAAATCTGAAATTAAAACTCTGTGTTCAGTACAGAAGTATGGTATAGTAAAATCAAAGTTTTACATAGCCTTTACTTCTACAGAACGGAATTCAAGTGCTCCTGCCATCATTCATGTTTTGAGGCTCGTTTCTCCAAACTCCCTGCTTTGTAAGACATACACTGGTATTTAGAAATGAAAAGTAACTCCACAGTATGAAACTTGTATAAACAAGTTTCCTCAATGCCCTTCTTAGTACCACAATGAAAAATAAACTCAAGAATGTTTAAGTAGTATTTCAATACAATACCTTCATCATCAATCCACTTGAGGGTAATTGGCTGTTCCTGCTGTAAATTACACATCTCATGTACTTCATCACAAAGTTCATCATAGCTCATTGATACATCCAAGTTTGTTATCAGGATGTCCCTGCACAAGATGAAAACATAAGCTTTTATCAGAAAATATCTGCATTAGCCTGCATATTCCAGTAATTCCACCTATGGATGCCAGGCTGCAAAATCATGCTACAGAACCAGCATTCCTCATATGAAATGACACACGGTACTGTTAAAGCAGGAGAAAGATTTAAAAAAATAAAATGCAAAAAAGATTTTGCAAAACAAAACCTGAGAATGCAAACTAAACCTTCTCCTATTTTCTCTTTTACTATTTTAGAATATGTGCTATATTACATACTTTACCTACTTATATTTTTCAACCTGAAGCCTAAAGGTGCTACACTGAACTGAGGATCTTTGGCTCTACAGCTCACATTTTAAATTATACACACAAAAACTTTATTTTGTCTTTGCTGAGAAAAATTATAAGAAACAAAGCTCTAACACAATCATTTAAGAACTATACTGAGGTTCAAATTCAGATTAAAAGCACTTCTACCTTTTCAAGTATATCTTTAATCTACAATTTGTAAACTTCTCAAAGAACAGCAACTTAATTCTGCATAATAATGGAAAAAGAAGTATGCATGCTAACTGCCAACTTGTATATCTTCATTACTGTACAATAGGGAGAGCCGTCAGCTGAGGTTAAGCTTAAGACTATATCCCCATCAAAAGAGTCATATTTTAAGCACTTATAAAAGTAAGAGATCAAATCAGTTCTCAAAGCAGTGTTTGAGACCTGGTGCAATGCCTTATGCCAAGAGAAGGCCACTAACAAATGCAGCTCAATTCATACGCTGCCACCTCAAACTAGTCACGAGACCGAGCAGCTATAGCTCTGTGGTAGCTCTGGACAATCATGCTTTTTCAAGTACATAAACACTACTCAAACACTAAAAATATGCAGTAAGACAATATTCTACTATGCACACTACAAATACCAATCAGGTTTTGCAAATGCAATCACTAATTATATTTATTCAAACTGTTATCTCCATGATGTCCATGTGCCTTTGAGATACACTGTGTTTAACCTTAATGCCTGTATAGTCACATTAGGCAATTGGGGCACAGATAAATCAAAGTCATTTGTCATTTAACACTATAGAATCTCACAGGACACTTTTTTTGTCAGGTATCTGAAACCAGATTCTACAGAGTAATCTGAAGAACTAATGACCATTAAGTTATGGACAAGCAGTTAAAGCAGGAGATTAATTGTATGAAACCAATTAAATGTGTCACCATTTAGAACCAAGGTAATAGAGCAAACCATACTGCATCACTACTCTATTTAAATAAAGTGATTTCAAGTAACCAGCTATAAATCAGATAAACTAAACTGAAATAATGAAATGAGAATTACACAAGTTTGCGTCTTTTGCACTCTACTTAGGCAGTTATTTATACTATGCTATGTTAGGAACTCTGTCACACCCAGAAACATGAATACCTAAGATACTAGGACTCCAGACAGATTCAACATTCACATGGTTTAGAATTTCCTCATACTTAAATTCTTAACCAGGATTTCAAAACGTATATTGTGCTATTACTTGAATATTTTAGCAGCTACCTGAATGAGCTTGTTCTTAATTCTGAAGTTGTCAAGCATCAATGATTTCCTGCAGTTCATCAAATTTGTTCAAGAGATGAGTACAGTAATTTAATGGAGATATTAAGATAATCTGTTATACAGGCTATAATACCAAAAATAATCAGCTCTTACTCGCAGAATTTGATCAGTAGAACGAAACCCAAAACTCAATGATTTGGAACTCTTGTTTTGTAAATTGCCATACTACAGACTTCATAGCTAATGGAAATTACTAAACATAGTGTTGGAGGAGAAACTACAGTAGTAGTTTCTTGTAGAACATTATAATAATTACACATGAATTCTAATAGTGACACAAGTATTATCACCTACTCCAGTTCTGCACAGAAAAGTTCTACAAAATGATAGAATAGTTTGAGCTGGAAAAGACCTTAAGATCACCCGGTTCTAACCCCCCTGACATGGGCAGGGGCACTTCACACTACACCACGTTGTCCAAGGCTCTGTCCAGCCTGGCCTTGAACACTGCCAGGGATGAAGCATTTACCACTTCTTTGGACAGCCTGTGCCAGCACCTCACCACCCCCACAGTAAAGAACTTCTTCCCTATATCTAACCTGAATTTCCCTTTTTTCAGTTTGAACCCATTACCCCTTGTCCCTTCGCTAAAGTCCCTGATGAAGATTCCCTTGTCCAGCATCCCTGTAGCCCCCTTCAGATATTAGAAAGTGGCTCTGAGGTCTCTGCATAGCTTCTCTTCTCCAGGCTGAGAACCTGCCCCAACTTTCTCAGCCTGTTTTCATACAGGAGGTGCTTCAGCCCCCTATCATCCTCATGGCCTCCTCTGGACTTGCTCCAACAGCTCCATGTCCTTCTATGTTGAGGACACCAGAACTGCACACAGTGCTGCAAGTGGGGTCTCACAAGAGCAGAGTAGAGGGGCAGGATCACCTCCTTTGACTTGCTAGTCACATTCCTTTGATGCAACACAGTATATAGTTGGCTTTCTGGGCTGCAACCTACTCTTTTCACTTTAGAGCAACACTACCTGCCAGCAAGCTACCCCAAATTGTTTACACAAAGTTCTACTTGTGTTTATAGCACCTTCCCTTACAGGGCTCAGCCCCTAATGCTGTTTCAGAGAAGCATGCATAACCATGCACCTCAGAGAAGTGCATCACTTAAAGCATCTAAAGTTCAGATGTTCTTTGCAACTGTATGACCTGATTCAGAGGTGTAGGATAAAACTACAGAGCAGAAAATTATTATTAGTAATGCAAATGTACGGTACGAGTCTTTCAGACAGAGTTCATAAGGCAGTTTACTTGTGATCTAAGCAAAATTCCCTCATCCCTCATATATAACTAAGTAATGCCAATAATAACTCCTTCTAAAATTTCTCCAAGACAAACAAAAAAGGACAAAACCAATGGCATCCACTTATGTCAAGACTTACATATCTCTCCATAAAGAAAAAACTAGTTTTCCACGACAGAAACTGCTGTAAGTTAAAATCATGTCAAAAATGCCCACTAGAAAAGGACTCATACTAATCACATTTCATCTCAAGGAGTACAGTCAAACTGACAACTCTGAGTGGAAACCTATACTTCATTGTCTCCTGCTAATTTTGGCAGTGACTTTTAAGATTTATCATATGTTTATTATAAAGAAGATATGACAAAATATAATAACTGCATCTAAATGCAAGAAATGGGTCTATACATGCCCGTGATCATAAAACAGAAATCAATAATCCATAAACCCAGAATAACAATATGTCAGTTTCGCACATCCTCTCCCCTCCTTTGACAGAAGGATAAATAACCAACTCTCTTCCACAGCACACTGCAGGAGGCTGCATGGTATTTTATTAGCCCAGAAGTTTACCCACCTGATATAACAAACTACAAATCCACCAATGCCCTGGTTACTGTATCACTAGATCAGACTACGAACTTCATGCTTCAAAATTAGACAGGACACAATATAGAGGAGAGAGCATGATGACTTACCCGCTATAGTGTGTTTTCACTCTGATGAAGTCTTTGTTCAAATCCATTTTTGAGCCCATTCTGCTAGGCATGGTCTGTATTTAGTGGTCTAAATGAAATTATGTAGAAATGTGTTCACTCAAGACATATAATTCATTTAATTCTGAAGCAAACAGCTTCACATGCAAAATGTGTGCTTCTTCTCCAGATGATTTTCAATCCATCTGCACAGAAAGAAAACCAGAAGAGATGAATGTACAGACACTACTGAACAAATGAGTTGTCAAATTTTATAAACACAAATAACTCTACATAGAACAGTGAGAAACTGAACGAGAAATATACAAGACCATCGACCTGCACAGAAATTAAATCAGTTAAAAATATTCTGTACAATTCAGTTTTACAGAAATAGCCCAAGCATTCAAGGATTTTTTTTTTTTTAATAAAACACCCAGCAGTTCCCTCTTGGCTAAAAACACCCTGAAGAAATCTTTACTTATTCATCAACACAGCTTCTTGCTTTTTTCTTTCAAAGAGTAGAGCACGTTAACGCAGAATAGTTCTTACATAAATGGAAGACTGCTATCAATTGATGTTGGTTATAAATTCACCCAAGAAAATTAGAACTCCAAGGGACAATTTAAATTGCCTTTATGACTGAAGACTGACAAACGCCCTGTTTATTGAAAATTACCTCCACCTTCCCATGTACTCGTAGCACACACACCCAGGGAGCGCCCCAGCCCCGCTGCCTGGGGAAGCAGAGCCACGGGTACCAGGAGACTGCAGAGTTCCGCTCCCAGCCCTCTCCTCTCCCGAAGGAATCGAAGGAACCCGCCAGTCCCCCCAGCCCGACAGCGGGGCCGCCTCAGCGCCCGCCGAGCCCGAGCCTGGCGGCGACAGGGACTGAACACAACGCGGGAAAGCGGCTTCAAGCCTACAGGGCCTCCGGGGCTGCCCCTCCCTACCTGCTCCGGCCGGGAGAGGTGCCACGCCACAGCTCGGGCCCGCGCCTCAGCGGTGCCGGGCTGCACTTTCCGCGGTCTGAAGTTGCTCAAAGTCCCGCGAAGAAGTTTAGGAACGGACTTCTGCTCCCCGCCCGTGGGTCCCCGCCGAAGAACAGCGGCGGCGTGCGGCAAGGAGAGCGGTAACGTGGGCGCAGCCACCGGAGCCCCCTCAGCCGGTGCCCGCTTCAACGCCCCACTCAGCCCGGTAATCCTAGCAACGGCGCCACCGCGCCGAACATGGCGGACTAAGAAGGCTAGCGCCCACAGCCAATAGAACCACTCCTACACTACCTGTCAGCCAATAGCAAGCTCCAACACACCTGGAGCCAATCCCCCAAAAGATCCCTCCTACTCACTACCAATCATAGGCCGGGAACTTTTACCTGCGGAGTAGAAGTATCTCAGCCAATTAAAAGCGTTCCAGGAAGTAGTAGAGGAACACCTGCAGCCAATCGGAGAAGCCAGCAGCAGGCATGGAGCTACCCGTGAGGGTGGCTGGTGAAGCGGGGGGGCGCGGCCGCCTCAGGCCTCCCCATCCGCTCTCCTCCTTCCCGTCTTCGCGGGGCTGCCGCCGGGGCGCCCCGGACCTCGCCGTGCCCGAGACGGCATAGCTGCGGGGGAAAGAGCGCCCGAGCCTGGGAGAGGCGGGTACCGTCGTTACCGCTCTGTGGGGGCAGGGGGCTCGCGCCTCCCCTCGCCCCGGAGCCTTCTGAGGTAGCGAGCTGTGTGGCCCGCTGCAGGCGGGAGGACTGGGGAGCTGGGCTGGGAACCGTGGGGCCGCCTCAGGGCTGAGGCGGTGCTGAGGCGAGGGGCAGAAGTGGCGGCCCCCGGCCGGGAGTGCTGAGGGAAGGCGGCCTGAGGTACTCCGCGGGCTCAGCTGCCTTTCTCACTCTAAAAAACCCCTTAACAACAACGAGAAGTCCCTTCTCCCCGCTGCCCTGCAAGGGGTGCCCTGCCAGCGCACACACTGAGCCGGCTGCCTCATCCAAAGCTGCCTGGGAAAACCCGCTTCCGTAGGCGGGTGATATCCTATGAGCGTAAGCAGAGCTCCCAGCCTGGAGAGGATTCATTCAGAACTGTTAGGTGAGCTAAAATAATAAAAATAAACCGTATTGGACGTCCGAGTGGTCAGACCAGAGGGGAAGGAGGAAGAACGACAGATTGTTTTGTATTAGTGTTTATGATTTAACCACCATTTCATGAGAGTAGTCTGTGAAATGATTAATGCCATTAGCTCTGTGAAGTTGAGTTGTTCTGGCTCCTGATGATACTTTGATCTTCGATTTCAATCTCTGAGTAAGCTGTGGCCAAGGCAAATCCTTTCCTCTGTAGAAGAGGTCATAGTTCTGCCTGCTCTTCAGCTGAAGGGTGGGATAGTTAACCCAGAGAGTCCTCTAGCGGAAATGATGCTTGTACTGACTGAACAGCTGTTTTCCTGGTGTGTCTTAAAATGATTTTCAAAGCAAATAAGATATCCTGGCAAAAGATTTGCTTTGGGGCTGTTAGTAAGCTATTTATATCCACATTGGGCAACAGTAACCCACCGAACTTGAAAAATAAACCAAACCGAGCTGTCCAAACTGTAATATAGTTTTGGAGTAGAGCATTCATACCCTGTATTTTGAAAATGGCAGAAAAACATATCAATCCTTGGTCTCTTGCTGCGACCTTGGTACACCTACATCAAACTCTTCTTAGGCACCATTTAGCACTTTCACAAGATCTTTATGGCTGTTTGGGGGGGGTGTTGGTGAGTTTGCACCAACATAGCTCTGAACTTTCCTTTGGTGTTTCTACAATGTGTCAAAATACAAATAAATAATAGTTAACTCTAGTGTAAGTAAAGTGGCAAAACTTATTCCTGTTAGTCTAGATGTTTTCTCTGACACCAAGGGAATGCACTGAATGGTTTCATTTATCAGTCTTTACTGATAAGTGAGAACTATCAATATGGTTTCAAAAAGGGCCCTTAAATCTTCATCTGTTCCAAATTTCCTCTGCTTAAAATGGAGAACATTATGTAATGTATGTCTATGAACATAATTCTTTCAGGGCAAGCTGGGCTTTGATGTCCTGTCACATCAGTCAGATGGCTTCAGCTTCTTGAGTTGTTGAATTGGGAGATAAAAGGTAGCACAGTTCTTCAGAACTGTGATTTGGGATGTTGTGTGGTTTACTGTTGCTGTTTTTTCCTAGCCAACCTACTGAAGCCAAAAGATTGGGTATATTTTCAGTGCTTGTAGAAAAATCTCAACACTAATATTTTTACATCTTGCAGAGAGATTGTGTAGTTGATCACTTAGTACTAATGCTGTTATTTTAGGAGACTTACTTTGAGTTAGTTTGTGTTTTCTTATATTACAAGACTGTTTAAACACTTCAGTTTCTTAGTAGATGCCTCCTACTTCTGGGCAGATGGCATTTTTTGGAGAGGATGTCAGCTTTGCTCTGTGCATTAGCTGACAAGGTTGCAGCTGGCTTGAAAATGCAACATATTGTATGATCATTGCTTCTGGCATATTGTTTTTGAAACACAATTGACTTATGTTGTCCTAGAGCTGTAAATCCTGAGTTATTCCTGAGCTTTTTTTCTTCCTTTTTTTTTTTGTTTTTCCAGATGGCAGAGTATTGCACTTTTATCTCCTACTGAAACACCCTCAGCTTAATGAAAAGGTGAGATATTGCTGTCTACTACACCTACGTTTGACAGCTCCTACAGGTAATTTATTTTACTCCAGGCTTAAAGTGGGTATTTTTTGCATCTAAACTTTTAATTCTTTTTTGCATTATTGTCATCTCCTGATATCAGATCTTTTACTCTGAAGAGGAGATTGTGAACTGATCTGTTTGAGAAAGAAGGCTTCAAAAAAAGATTTTTCTCAAGTATTTCAGTTCCGTTTTGAAAATAAGTCCTACCACATCCAGCCCAACAAAAAACAAGTTTCCTGTTCTTGCATTCCTTTCTTTATATGATGAGCTTTGGCAAATCATAAATCTCTGTCACATAATTTTTCTTAAGTGGTGGGATAATAGTTATTTTCTTACCAGTATTTGTAAGGGGGTTCTGTAAGAAAGAAGAGCTCCCTCCTGCTGGAAACAGCCATATGGATTTTCTTTCCTATTTTGTTTTTTTTCCAAAATCACTGTGGCTGATTAGCAACCAGGATCAACAGCAACCCATACTGACCAGGAGCTACTGCAGTCTAGTGGAAGTTACCTTAAGGAGGACATACTTCATTTGCAGAGAGTTCTTAGTGAAACGTTCTATGTTAGCTTGCATTGTTACCCCATCACCTCCTCCACAGTAGAGCTACTCCTGTTTTATGCAGCTATGGCCATGATGATCATCTGGCTTCACACAGGTAATACTACATTCAACCTCAGCATCCAGTTGTGCCACAGATTTAGAGCGGCAGTGGAGCGAGAACACTGGTTTGCTGAGGAAGCTAATGTTGGTATTTCAACTGCTGCTGGTATTCTGATGTTACCTCTTTATTGAAGTAAAAGTTCTAAACATGCAGAGTATTGGCTTCCAGACTTAATGCCTCCTTCATTTTTCATGCTACCGTTGTCTCTGACAGTAACTTTGAAGCCTGTATGTATTAAAGGATGTATATCTGCACATTTCCAGCAGATGGCAAGATATTCCTAGGCAGCAATCTGGGAAACAAAGTTGTATATAAAATGCTTACAAGTGGTAGTGCTTTATTTTAATGCTACAGGCTGTTGAGAACTGTTCTTTAAAGATAAGTTTAAAAGGAAAGAAAAAAAAGTGCTATTGAATGGTTTGGAAGCTCTTTGACTAAACAGAACAACTGTTTTGGTGCTGATTGGGATGTGAGTGGGAGGCAAAGGCCTGAAACTGAAAACATAACATGAATTATCGATCTTAGCTATGAGGCTCTCAGCTCGCTGTCACTGCCAGTTGATCACTCTCATCTCCAGAGCACTCTCTCTGGCTTACAAAAGGCTTTCCTTTGAGAGAAATATATCTCTCTAGAAATAAAGATCAAAGGATGGGTATTTGTTATGGTTCATTTTATTTCACGGGCGAGGAATTAAGCAGAGATGAAGACTGTCATTGCAGTTTGGGAGCTGTTGTCGCTATATGGATGTTTATCCTCTCCCCCTTCCACTGGTGTAAGAAACAGGGAGGAAAAGCTCTCTATTTTAAGTTTGGTGGTTCAACAAACATGAAGTTGTGTAATTAATTAGACTAATTAGCAAGTGGTTCAGCTAGAACCTTCACTGCTTAAATGACTAAAACTATTGGGAATGTTCCTGCTACTGAAGGTTGTTGGAGAATTCTTGTACTATATGGACTCTTCACAGATACGGTTATGTACAAAGTTTTTCTCACAGATTTAGACAGAAAGAGAGTTGGAAGTTTTATGGGTACAAACTGGAACACAAGAGGTTCCACTTAAACTTGAGAAGAAACTTCTTCTCAGTGAGGGTGGTGGAACACTGGTACAGGCTGCCCAAGGAGGTTGTGGAGTCTCCTTCCCTGGAGACATTCAAAACTCGCCTGGACACATTCCTGTGTAACATTATCTAGGTGTTCCTGCTCTGGCAGGGGGATTGGACTAGATGATCTTTTGAGGTCCCTTCCAATCTCTAGCATACTGTGATACACCTGGTGACTGGCTGGCAGGACTTGCAGCTGTTTCTACCTTTTCTTTGCTGAAATAACTTTTTTTTTTCTTTAAACTGCTGTATCCACAAAATACTTGCATGTTTCTGACAAGATTGATCCAAAAAAATCTTTCTCCTTTTCTCCCTACTAAACGCTTCAATTAAGACATCATTATGACAACTAGTTCTTAAAGACAATTGCTGAAATAAAAGGGGCAATCAGTACTAGTTGTACCTCAGTAGAAAAGGACAACTGGTATCCTATTGTTATTGCCTTAAATCTTCAGCTGTATTAAGACCTGTCAACTTCCCAAGGTTTTAAAGATTTAGTAGGCAAAATTAACATTTCAGACTGTTAACTAAACAACAGATAAATTGAGATAGCTAATATCTTCAAATGTATGTGAAATATGAATAAGCAGTTCTGTGTTGCTCTGGAATGAAAATACATCCCCATAGAATGTTTTTTTTTAGATCAACCCAGCAATGTGTGCAGATATACAGGCTGCTCTTCAGCCTCCTTGCTCTTTTTTTGCCAAGAGATAGCTATCACTTCTGTTGAGATCAGTGGCAGTGAAATTATTGAGTCCAGTGGGAACAAATTTGAAAAAAATACTACTAAGTTTGGATAAAAATCATAAGGCAAACCGTTAATATATTGTAACACGAACTGAAGTAATGCATATATCCTACATAACATCAGAAATCACCATGGTAATCCTGTGCAGATTTTTTTGCTGGACTGAATATTAGTGTTTTTCTAGCCCATGTTAAAATAGACAAAATGAATAATGTTTCAAGACTATTTTCAGTCAACACCTCCCTTACTTGTCTGTCTTATGTAAGATAGAAGCAACCAGAAGCTAACTCACTTTTGTTGGCATATTAACCAGGAGGATAAAGAATTCTATGGGTAGCCCAAGCTACATATGTTTAAAAGCAAATAAAACCATCTTCTATGTTACTGTACTTATTTTCTCAGGATAATTAAATAACCTGCCTCTGCAGAAGCACAATTTTTGCCCACTTTCCTTCTGTGTATGTTCATTAGCACACAATACACTGTAAATCACAGGGGCTCCCTTCTTGCTTCAGAATCTAGTCCTAACTCTTTAGAAAGCAACCTTTTGCAGAACAGTGAACTCCCAGTAACATCTGATCAGCTCTGTTGGTGCTATATTTTCTGGCAGCCCAGGCATGACTGTCTTCTCAGATTTGTTTTTATTGGGCAAGTCTTGGTAAAAGGAATAGCTGTGACATAAAGCTGATACGAGGAGACAAGAGATCCCTAATGCATTGCATAACAATGGGCTTAGATCCTCAAATTCATTTTATTTAAGACACAAGCTGTCAAGGCAGAAAGAGACTGTGCCTTTCCCATTTCAGTTATCACATCCATCCAAATAGACATGTTCATTGCCAAATCTGTATTCTGTTTTCATTAGGAATTAGTTATCTGTGTTTGTAACACATATTGCTCACAGTATTATTACAATATCAAGCAAGCTTTCAATCACTGCATGTGTTTTCAGCTGCTGTAATGAAGAGGGTATGAGAGAGTTGCTTCAGATTTTTCTGTAATGAAAATATTCTCAGAAACTTTCAATAAGATTTTTGTTATCTGTCCTGCTTCACAGACAGATATGCAGGGATGCTGTTTTCCTCCTCATATGAAGTGCTTTCTTAGGTTAATGACTGAGTATTTAAAATCAAATTAATTGTATAAGTGTTTTGTCATACCAGCAGCAGAAGCCTCATTGAGTTAAATTGGTTTTGCTACATTATCTGTTGGATCAGCAAACCAGTGAAGAACTGATGTGAGAGCTTTAACTTGGATGAATGCTTTCATTTTTACCCAGAAACAGGACAGACATTTCTGTACATTAACCTCTTAATAGTCCTGCCACTGCCAGCATTACTTTCTAGCAAATCACACAGTATCTTTCTCCTCTTCATCTTGTGCTGATTCTTTTTGATCTCTTGAGACAGCAACAGCTATTTTTTAACATAAATACAGTAGTCTGCATAAATACCCCACAGAAAGCACTTATGAATACAGAATGGTGCTTCCTTTTCTGTTGCCGAGGCCAAAGTAGAGTTTTACAAGCCCTTGGGCACATAATAGGCAGGATTTCATTATGGGATGAAATCTCTGAGGTTATTTATGCTCCATCCCTGGTGGTGTTCAAGGCCAGCCTTGGGTGACATGGTTTAGTGTGAGGTGTCCCTGCCCATGGCAGGGGCCTTGGAACTAGATGATCTTAAGGTCTTTTCCAACCCTAACTATTCTATGATTCTGTGATTTTGATTTTCCTTCTAATGCAATAGCTCAATGCAATTCCAGCTCAATAGTTGGAATGTCTATTTTGTCCATTTATAGAAACTCCAATTTCTGTATATCTACATTTTATCAACACTTCACATTTAGAATGATTACATTAACACATACTCCACTCCTTTTCTCACAGACATGCCAGTCCGTAGAGCAGTACTCTAAACTGCTGAAAGGAATATGAATGTTTTCAGGTACAGCACAGAAAAAGTGCCTTCTGATCTGTCACATACTGGTTCTGTTGGTTTTTTTTTTGCCTCTCCTTGATGCTAATACAGCCCATCCAAAGGCAACATTTAACTAACATCAAATTCAGTTTATTTCTGTTTATTATCATGAAATCAGAGTTGAATAAGGCATTGTCTTTGGATATTAAGACATCTGAAGTATTAACGTCTGATGATTTTTTTAAGGATGATTTTTTTTCAATTTAAAATAAATCGAGTTAAGCACGCGCATAAGTGCAGAAGATTCAAATTTATGCAAAGCTCCAATTGTTACACCAGACTCCTGTACTGAAGTTTCTCCTTAAGAAGAGTTTGAATGGCATCTGACTTTATTTCTGGCTCTGGAAACAGATGTAAGAGAATCCCACTCTTGATGGTGGAAGTGTTTTGTCTTGTGTTACTCATGCAAGTGCAGTAAAAGTAGCTAAGACACCTCTTCTCCCCTCTGAGTCACCTTGTTTCTGGAATGGACACAACAGCCATATGTATGCTCACAGTGCACATTTCTGACTCCCTGCAGTGTTCTGAGGTGGTTGTTTTCCCTTTATTTATGCTTCTATCTACAACACTGTGATAGTCTAGCATTCTGGCTTGAGTTTTTTTTGAGGAATATATTGCTGCCACCTTTTACTTTGATCACTCAACAACTGGGATGTTCACCTTGAAGATCTGCAGTCAAACTATA